TAGGAGACTCGGGAGGAGGCACGACCTGGCCGTTGATGATCTGGGACATGAAACCCACCCCCTCAGTATTCAGGCCCGGATTCAATAAAGTGAGCTGGTTAATCGCGACCTCAAAACCATATGCCAAGGCGTCAACACAGTCCGTTTCGAGGAGATGGATGCGCGCGACCAAATCCGAGCGACTCCGCAAGGGGGCTGTCTCCTCCGACTCATCTTCAGCGGGAAGCATGGCGGCCTTCAGATCCTCGACTTCTTTAGCCAGACGCTCGTTGTCGGCCTCCAAGCATTCCCGATCCAATCGAAAACAATCCCTCTCCTTGGCAACCTTCCCCGAGTTCTCCTTCTCCACGGCCAGCAGCTCGGCTTGCTCGCAGAACATCTCCTCAGATCGCTCCAGAGCAGCCTTCAACTTACGAGAACCGGCAGCGAGGGCAGCTTTCTCCAGCTCCAGTTCCCTGACGCGGTCAGAGGTGTCCGACCCCTCCTCAGCGAGGACAATGGCCATCTCGGCCATCTTAACCATCCCGACCATACTGGCGGCCAAGTGTTTTCTCCGACTCTCCTTGTCGAGCCTCCTGATGGTCTCAGCCTCCTCGGCACTCACTGTCAAGGGAAACCCCTCGAAGAAACCTTCCTCTTTAAAGCAGGAGGGAAAGCCAAAGGCCCTCACCGCGACAGACTCGTCGCCGACTTCCGACTAGTTCTCTACCCAGTTTCTCTTCCTCGTTATCAGCTCATGGGGCTGCTCGACGTCGGGGGAACCCTGGGACCCGCTAGAAGCGTCGCCTGAACTGGTCGGCGGGCCCATCCTCGTTGCCTGTGGAGCTCGCACCAACCTTCTGTTGACTTTCTTGTCCTGAGTCAACTTTAAAAGGCTCTCCCTTCGTCCGGACATATTTCCTGCAAAGAAGAAAATCCGGGTTAGCTACGAGCAAGTAACAAACAAAGAAACTAGAACAAAACTATAAGACAAAAAGTAACCTAGTAGATCCACGCCCTGCCCGTAGGACTGGAACTTGACAAGCGCCTTTGTATCTATAGGACGGGCCTCGAAGGTCAGGTAACCCTCCTCGTCAAAGATGTCTTTCCCCTCCCTCAAGTGACCCACCGGGCAGGGAAGAAGCTGTCGACATACTTGCAAAGGCTACCATAGGCTTCCTCATCCTCGGCACTCATCCCTCCCGCGGGCGTATGGTAGTGCCCAGTACCATGCTCATAATGGCGCGAGCACCAATGCAACGGAAACTTGGATACACGCCCCAACACCGGGCGGCCCTCTTCGTCCATAAGAGGCTCCCCGTTCTCGTCAGCCACTGCGGTCTCCTCTTCATATATAGAATCCAGAGCAGTCTGGGTGACCGGGCCGCACAACATACCATTTGTCCTTGAAACTCCAGACCGGATCCATGTACATCCTGAACAGTCTCTTCAACTGTTTCACGGAAACCCAGCTATGCCTGCCTCCTCGAGACTGGCGTTGCAAGTGAAAAACTCTGAAAAAGAGAGGAATGGTCGCCCCGATCCTTAAGAAGCGACATGTCAGCTCGAACGCCTGAAGAAAGGCGATCGAATTGGGGTGAAGCTGCGAGGGGGCCAAGTCCAGATGACAGAACACCCCAACCTGGAAATCACTGAAGGGGAGCTTAAGGCCGAGGTCCTTGAACGCGATTTCATACATGGGAAAACCATACTCAGAGAACTCCGAGCAGATCCGCGCGTCGAGAGACGACCTTGTGACAACATAGTTCTTCTGGAAGCCCGGTTGACTGCAGCCGTGTTCGACGATAGTGTAGGCGCTCCGACTACGCCGACTATATGCCGATGCGATCCCTCGGGGCTCGGCGCCCACCCATTCCAGCGAAGGATCGTCAACGGTATCGACTAGAGTTACATTCTCCTCGGCACTCTGGTCCTCGACCTCATTACGCCCCGAAGACTCCAGTTCGTCAGCCATTTACCTGCAAAGCACAGGAAACCGGTGAAGAATTCGAGAGCAAATCCATATGCTCGCCATAACTGACGGGAAGTAGGGCACGACAAGCCAAGACACACTCCGCGCGCGCTAAAACTTTGAGGACTCGAACAAGATCATGGTTTCGCCTCCCCGACGCTAAGGTGCCATGATGAGTTGTCCTACATACTTCCTAATGGGCCAACATCCCGGCCAGCCATGGGCCCGCCGACCTAAACTACGAATGTGACAGGCGATATCATGAATCCTAAACCTAGAACTATGGGTTTATCGAGCAGTATCATAGAATTATATGCCCAAAACCATGAAGGTCCCGGGCAGCATCGCGAGTCACATACCTAAGGCCACGAGTTTACCGGGCACAAACATGAACATACCGGGCACAAACATGAATGTGCCTGGCACAAACATGAATGTATCAGACGCTAATCCCAGATGTGGGTTCCTAACATCCAAATAACGGAAAAATTACCTACAACGAAGGAAAATAGGAGGGATAAACGCTTACTTGGAAGTTAAGAAGAAGGTACGGCAGCGGTGGAGAAAATCAACGGAGGAAGATACAGTAATCTCGTGAAGTTGTAGAGAAACAGTGGCGGCAAAGGCAGAGGAAATAGGAGAAGCGCGAAGAGGAAAAACGAATTATGGGAACCAAAGATCCTATTTATAGGGATGACATGGAATACGAAACGTCACCCCGGGGAACCACGAACTTCCCCTCCTCGACGTCTACTCCCTAGGCAATGATGGCCCTACTCTCGCTAGGGTGACGTCACGGTTCCCAAGGGTTGCCCCGTGTACCCAACGAACACAGCCCGCGAGAAATCCCTGGAGCACGCATCAACAAGGATTACGCCACGAACGCAACTCATGAGAAATTTCTCGAGCAGTCACGGGGAAGAAAATATCCTGGGCCGGGCATCGGACCCCGTGGCAACGACGAGCTGAGGTCAAGTCTTAACTCCTGCTCCAGGAGCCACGACTTGGGGGGCTCCTGTTCTGGACTGGGCCCGCCCTGGCCCAAAAGCAAGAACGAAGGGCCCAATCCAAGCAACTCCTCAAGGATGCGCGCTGCGCGCGAGGATTCTCGTCAGCGTGCCCGACCACAAGCTGCAAGCATGTCCGCCGTTGCCCTGGCGAACATGGTGTCCCCGACCACGAGAACTCCAGCTCGAGCCCAGTTCAAGCATCCTCCTCGTAGGGCAGATTCTGACCGTTACCAAATCACCTGAACTCCGGAAAGACCGCGTCTTCGTCCCTCCTCGTTTCTCGCAGAGCATCACCAGGAAGGAGACCATGTGCGGGTCCCCACTACACACGTAGAACCTGACAGTTCCCTTATTGGGCCAGTTCTGGTTAGCCCAATGTGGGGACCTTGGCCCCGCGCTGGGTGCTATAAATACCCTCTGTTCCTAGAGGGGCAGATATTCATCTCTTACCTATACATACGCCTTTTTGCCTGCTCATTCCGCCACTCATTTTAGCATCGAAGTGCCTTGCAGGTACCCCATCTCACTCAACCTCCACTTGGAGCCAGTCGTGACGGTCCAAGTCTGATCAGGTAAAATCAATTATTATTATTATTATTATTATTATTATTATTATTATTATTATTATTATTATTATTATTATTATTATTATTATTATTATTATTATTATTATTATTATTATTATTATTATTATTATTATTATTATTATTATTATTATTATTATTATTATTATTATTATTATTATTATTATTATTATTATTATTATTATTATTATTATTATTATTATTATTATTATTATTATTATTATTATTATTATTATTATTATTATTATTATTATTATTATTATTATATTATTATTATTATTATTATTATTATTATTATTATTATTATTATTATTATTATTATTATTATTATTATTATTATTATTATTATTATTATTATTATTATTATTATTATTATTATTATTATTATTATTATTATTATTATTATTATTATTATTATTATTATTATTATTATTATTATTATTATTATTATTATTATTATTATTATTATTATTATTATTATTATTATTATTATTATTATTATTATTATTATTATTATTATTATTATTATTATTATTATTATTATTATTATTATTATTATATTATTATTATTATTATTATTATTATTATTATTATTATTATTATTATTATTATTATTATTATTATTATTATTATTATTATTATTATTATTATTATTATTATTATTATTATTATTATTATTATTATTATTATTATTATTATTATTATTATTATTATTATTATTATTATTATTATTATTATTATTATTAATTATTATTATTATTATTATTATTATTATTATTATTATTATTATTATTATTATTATTATTATTATTATTATTATTATTATTATTATTATTATTATTATTATTATTATTATTATTATTATTATTATTATTATTATTATTATTATTATTATTATTATTATTATTATTATTATTATTATTATTATTATTATTATTATTATTATTATTATTATTATTATTATTATTATTATTATTATTATTATTATTATTATTATTATTATTATTATTATTATTATTATTATTATTATTATTATTATTATTATTATTATTATCATTATTATTGTTTTTCTCAATTTTTCTAAAAAATGTAACAAACCGTCAAAACTTATATTATTGTATAAGTTGACATTATGAGTTCATTTTATTTATTAAATATTTAAACAGAGAGTAAATGGACCCAAAATAAAATAGACGAGTTTTAAAATGTAATTTAATGGCCATACATCATGATACATGTACCAGAAATTTCCATCCAGTGCTGTATAATTAATGAGAAACGGCCACATCATAAATGAAACAATAAATTCTAATTTAATTTGTGTAGCACAACCCAATCCTCTTCATTGGGATTGAATTGTCATTTTTTCAACCATACATACTGTTTCATCTTCACACGCTACTACTATATATATAAAACGGCATAGATCCTAAACACAGAAAGAGAGACACAATAATGGGTAATGCTTGTTTTGGGAAGAGTACACACAACAAAGGAGTGGTGCACCCTATAGCAGTTCACCGTGATCAAGGCGTGACGATCAAGGTACGAATGACTAAAAGACAACTCAAGGGTTTAATAGAGAAGGTGGATATGAGCAATGATATGGAGGATGATACAGAATTAGGTCGTTTGATTGTTCAAGAATGCTCTAAAGGGAAGCTTCGTGCTCGTGTTGTTACTGCTGCAAAGGGTGAGAATGATCATTCATACAAGTTTTCAAGAGGACAACAAGGTTTAAGGCCAATTCAAGAAGATTTTGTGAAGAAAAATATCATGATTCATGATGTATAGGTGATATGTTTAAATAGTACTACATACTAAGTTTGTGATGAAAGCATTATTGTATGTTTTTAACTAATGTTATCATAGAAAAAGAGTTGAAACAAATTGGTAGTATATCGAAATACAACTTCGGATATAAATTTTATTTTTTATGACTCTTATTTACAATGGAACAAGATCTTATTGGTATTTTTTAAATTATCCTTGTTTTATTGACTTAATTGTACTTTCCGTTCTCTATTTATCACACTCAGGATAATAATTTTGCAATTTTGAAATTGAACTTATTTTTTGTTCTTTGTTGTTGATGTTAAGTTTGAAAATTAGCTAAAAGTGTTGGGAAAATCACATAACTTAAGTGCTATAACCGATTATTTTGATTATTGCATTTTAGTAATTGGTTACCGTAATTGATTACTGTATTTTAGTAACTAATTACCACTGTGTTGAGAATTAAGTTTAGAATATTTGTAGTTGTTTGTTATAAAGTTGTAATCGTCAGATAGAGATTTTTAATTTTTTTAGCTAGTTGCTTGTATCCCAATTAATTGTACTTGTGTATATATACCTTTGAGGTATCAATTAATGAGAACACTGAATGCACATTTTCACCCTCAATTGCACTCTTTCTCTAATTCTCCCTTCCTCTCCATCTCCCTCTCTACACTCAATTACTCAATTTTCACCAACCTTATGGTTCTAAGTTCTAACATTTGGTATCAAGTGTCTGGTTCGATCCACCAAACGCCTAGTGTGTAACATGAATTCTGTCTGCAAAAGAAGAATCCATGCAAACTTACTCATCCTTGATGCGAAGAATTACGACAAATAGTGTAAACAAATGAAGGTATTGTTTGGTACAAATTGAAGTGATCAAGAACGATGTGAATCTTCTTGTCGAAGGTGCAATAGATGCACAACGAGCATCACATAAGAAAGAAAAAAAGAAAGATTTCAAGTCGCTCTTTTTAATCCATCAATGCGTTGATACATATAATTTCGAGAAAGTTGATGATTGTGAGTCATTGAAGCAAGTGTGAGAAATCTTGGAGAAGGTATATGCATGGGCTGACTAGGTGAAGATTGTGAGATTAGACTCACAAACGTCAACTTGAGTTGGTTTAAATGGAGGAGAAGGAGACCATCAATGATTTCACGACGAAAATTACCCAGTTGGTGAACCAAGTAAAAGCATGTGGAGAAACAATCACAAAGCAATATGCTATCGCAAAAATCTTGTGTTCTTTGACGGCAAGATTCAATAATATAGTCATAGCGATTGAGGAATAGGCGAATCTTGCGATGATAGGAAAAAAGGAGCTATAAAGCTATCTTGAGGCACATGAGTAGAGAATGGAGGAAATAAATGTTCATAAGTCAAAGGCGGAGTTCACTTTGCAAGTCACTTTTAATGAGAGAGACATAAAGGCAGGTGAAAGTGTCCCATGAGCAGTGGTAAAGGGAATTTTTAGAATTTTTGTGGAAGAGAGTCCGAAAATTCCTAGAATTCAACATTACCAAAGGGTGAGAACAGTGGCAGTAGGACTGCTGGATCAAACAACTCTAGAGGAGGCAATATAAGAAGTAGAGGTGGAAGAAGAATGAATATGGCACTATAAGATTGGGCATCTCAATTTCTGAGATCTCATTACTTTGAAAAAGAACAAAATGGTGATGAGGTTGCCATTGATCGATATACCAACTTAAATTTGTAAAGAATGTGTGCAAGCAAAGCAACATAAGGGAAAATTCAGCAAGGATGTAGGTTATAGAACCAAGCATCACCTTAAGGTGGTGTATTTAGATGTGTAGATCAATGCTAGTTGATTTGATTTGTAGCAATATATATTTTGTCACATTCATCATTGATCATAGTAGAAAGCTATGAACATGCCTAATCAAGAGAAAGGATTAGGTATTCTAAGTGCTTAAAAAGTTCAAGTCCATGGTTGAAAAGAAAAGCAGTCACGCACTCAAAGTTCTCAAAACAGATGGTGGATGTGAATATGTCTCAAATGATTTTGGGAGGTTTAGTTATCGAGATGGCATAGTACATGAAGTAATACCACCCTATACACCACAATAAAAAGGTGTTATCAAAATTAAAAATTGATCGATTATGAACATGATGAGAAGCATGTTGAAGGGAAAGAACTTGCCGAAAGAGTTATAGGGAGACATGGTGTTCATTGTTGCATATTTGTTGAACGTGGTGAGAAGCATGTTGAAAGGTGTTATCGAAAGGAAGAATCGATCAATTATGAACATAATGAGAAGCATGTTTAAGGGAAATGCGATACAGTGGCAGAACCGACTGTTATACTGGTTTGCTTTTTGCGTTTTTTGTTTGCAAAATATCGTGGTAAGCAAGAGTCTCCACCGACTTTTATTTCATCCAATAATGGAAAAGGAAAAAGAACAGAAAAAACCTTTTTTCGAGATATTATGAGTACGGGGGGTAGATTATAGAAAGGGAAGGTGGTAGCACCCTTTCTATCCATGGTTTTCCATTGGCTCTTAGGTACTTGCTCATTTTTTAAATTGCTTGTGCGTGCTTGTTTTGAAAATGCTTTACTTCGTGATAACCTTTGTATCAGTCCTCAAGGGTGTGACGAAGTTTTTTTTGAAAATTTTTTTTGAAAGGTGTTTGTGTGAAAAGTTTTGTTGTTTGAGCAAGTACCTAGGAACTAATCTACCTACTCGAAAAAAGATTGTTCGTTCTCGTTTCCTTTAGACAGCGCTATCCCACTATTAAGGAGTAGGTAGCACCGTCGTTGGAGTTGTAAGGGACGTTCGAAAGGGACAAGTACACTCACTAAAGCAATAGTTAGAAAACTTTAGTAGTAAACCTAGAGTCTTAAGATCTTTCTGAGACAATATTTCTGAGGCAATATTCGAATGGGACTTTTTGATCTTTTAGACTGGAGGGCAACCACTAAAATCTCTTATGCTTAATGATTGTTTACCGAAGGCAACCGAAGTGGGGTAAACCCTAGGAGTGAATATGTGCCTGTGAATTGTTTCAGTTATATAGTCTTTGCACATTAGGTGACCTACCATTTTAATTTTCAAGCATTCTTCCCATACAATCCTATTAACCATGCATCTAACAGTTAAATATTTGCAGGAATTTAAAGTGCGAGAAAATAAACCTTTCTGTTACAGGGCTTTGAAAATTACATAATTATCTTGACGGAAAATAAAAATGCGGAAGTTTGAAACCCTAGTTACTATTACATCCTCGAAACAGTTACAATAATAATAAAACAAATTAAAATGCGCGCGGTAAACTAAATGCAAGAAAAATTGAAAACCCTAAAAATCTAATTGAAAAAATATTTAAATTATTTTTGAGAAAAGACTTAGTTAGGTTATGTACAATTAAAACCCTAATTCTAATCATTTTTTAATTATAAAAAGAAATTGAAATTAACCTAATTTAAACTAAATTAAATAATTCAAGAAAATAAAATATTTTATAAAAAAAGAGATTTTATGTATTTTTGTGGGTTTTTTATTTGAGAAAAGAAACAATTTAATTACAAAATTTAAAACCTAATTTCTATTTAATTAAAATAAATAATCAAATAATCCAGTTGGCTTCAGGGATGCTCCAGGATACGATTGTCGGCTTTGGATTTCTCTAAAAGGCCCTGTGGAATGAAAATCGAGTCACACTTTTTGTCCACCTTTTTTAGTTTGTTCTTTCTCTTCTACGACTACAAAACCTTGTTTTATGCTTTGTACATGTCCAATATATATCTAGGAATGAATTAGGGTTATGAAATTGGATTGAATCTTTGCAATTATGAGAGATTTGATTTGATTTTCATGCTACATGTAAACTTGCTATTTTGAGCCAAATCATCCCTTTCTTGTACCAATTATGCTTGATTCATTTTGGTCTTGATAACTCAGGATATTTTGATTGCCAACCTGTCCAAAAACCAAATCAAATCATATATTTGCTATTATTCACCAATTACTTGAATTAATTCAACTTTTAATTAATAAAAAATCAAAATAAATTGAAAAATGAAGAAAATAATGCGTGGGTGAATATTTGGGTCGTGGACCATATTATAAGTGATGTGCAAGCATAAAACGTTAGGCCCATTTGGCAAATAATGCATTTTTGAGCACATTTGACTTTTGGCAATTTTACAAAAAAGGTCAACTTTGACAAGGCATATCTCCTCCAATTTTAACCCTAGAGAGGTGTTCTTGGACTTTTTAGAAACTTAGGATGTCCTGTAAGCAACCATTTTAGTCTCATATCAATTGATTCTTCCATGTTCATGTAAGAAGCTTTGACCCAAAAGGTGTTTTTGTTGACTTTTCAAAAGGACCCATAATGTAGAAATTCATATCTTTTTGTGGGTGCATATTTTGAACTTGTGGTATGAATATGAGTTGTAGGGAATTGCATCCTCTTCCAAATTAGATTTGGATGTAAAATTTCTGATAAAGCATGTGGAAGTTATGCTTGGTCAAAGTTTGGTTGACTTTTCTTGAGAAACCCTAATTTAGCAACTTTTGGGTTTTGATGAATTTGGAGCATTCCTTGAGGAATCATGATCAACCGTTGATCAAATGATGAAAGTAACTTCAAAATGTTAATGTTGACCAAAAATATTGATGTTTGACTCTATGTGGGTCACAGTTGACTTTTGACCTAATACAGTCGATTCTTAAGCATCTGAGCAGTTGACTGAGCAAACTTCTTGTGCGAGGCATGAAACTTGACATGTAGGATATTGAGAACATATTAGGACCAAGGAGAGAATATGAGGTCTCTATATTCCACATATATTGATGAGAATGGAAATCCTAATTTGAGACACCCTGCCTTAGGAGAGAGTTTGTCTGGTCAACTCTTGGGCAAACTTGAGCAAATTGAGGATCTCAAGGAGTATATGTTGAGTAAAATGAGAGAGAAAATTTTAGGGTACAACAGCTGCCCATGTTCAATCATCTTAAACCTGAAGATGTAGATTGGTCGTTCTGCC